AAATATATAAATATATATATATATATATATATATATATATATATATATATATATATATATATATATATATATATATATAAAAACTTTTGTCAGAAAAGTTACATGGTTCACCTAGCATGCAAAGACATGCAGGGGAAAACAATCGGTAAGTGTTCTTAAAACATCAGAATTTTTTTTAACAAAGGTAAGGTAAGGTAAGGTCATGTTATAAAATTTAATGTTGTGTGGCTCCCATAAAACATTACAGTATTTATAAATTAATAATTCATTATGTTAAAAAAAAAAAAAACATTTTACCATGAAAATTTTATTTACAAACCTTATTAAAAAGTATTTTTTCCTTTGTGTAGTTGATTACTGACCCTCACTGATGGCAAAAGTTAAAGTTGTTATCATTCTGAGTAAAACTCTGTTTATTACTTAGGAATAATAAGTAGTAGGTGCCCGCAGTGAAATGAGACAGTGAATGTGGATTGCATGGGTATACACTGTTTAATTTTATGTCACGTTACTTTGACCTTGTATTCTCTCTAGACAGGGCTGTTCAAGCTCTCAGAAGAGGAATTCTTCATTAGTCCGCTGGAGTCAGCACAAGAAAAGTCAGACCCACAGGCTCATGCAGTCTATAAGCGACATGCTGTCCAATCAGAACACCAGCTGGTGCAGCCTCTGTTTGGAGAGCACACAGCTAACGCGACCTGTGGGGTCAGAGGTAAGACTTTGGGGCGTAGGATTCAAAGGGGATAAATAATTTATGAACAGATGTCTTTCATGATTAAATCACATAATGCATTAATAATCCAAGGTCATTTTTAATCATCCTTAGATCCTTTAGAAGGGGCAAAGCAGGTGGAAAGGCAAAGAGAGCGCTGGGAGAGACGGCAACATCGCAGACGGATTAGACAGCGCTCCATAAGTACTGAGAAGTGGGTAGAGACTCTGGTAGTGGCTGACCCTAAAATGGTGGAATACCATGGGAGCAAAGGAGTTGTGAGCTATGTGCTCTCTGTCATGAATATTGTGAGTAACAGTCCTATCTAAAAATAATTCATGGTGTTTTCCAAGGCAAGCATCACTATTACTGTTGCTCATACTTATACTAAACCCTTAAAGAGATCACTGTTCTGTCATCATTTACTAACCCTCATGTCATTCCAAATAAGCTTTAAAGAGATAGTTCACCCCAAAATTTTAATTCTGTCATTAATTACTCACCCTCATGGCGTTCCAAACCCGTAAGACAACCGTTCATCTTTGGATCACAAATTAAGATATTTTTGATGCATTCTCAGAGCTCTCTGACCCTCTGTAGATAGTAATGTAATTACTCGAATTATATGTCGATGTTAACACGATCAACATCCAGAAACGTAGCAAGGAGATCGATAAAATAATCCATGTGACATCAACGGTTCAACCGTAATTGTACGAAGCTACGAGAATACTTTTTGTACACAAAGAAAACAAAAAGAACTTGATGATAACTTAAAATAAAATTACTTTACGTCACCCTAGCGCCATTTTGGAGAGTATCCACTGAACGCAAACAGCGGATACGTTGTTTTCATTTAAATCAAAGTGTACATAAACGTAGAAAACGTATCCGCCACAGAATTAAAAAATATAGTTGTGAATTTTTATCTCACAATTTTATTTTGTTTTTGTCAGAATTATGATCTGTAAACTCGGAATTGCGAGAAAAAAGTCAGAATTCTCGCAATTCTGATTTTTTTTTTTTTTGGCCACAGAATAAAAAAGGTAATTGCAACTTTTTATCTCACAATTTGGACTTTGTTTCTTGTAATTCTGAGAAAAAAGTCAGGATTGTGAGATATAAACTCAGAATTACAACTTTAGAATTACAAGAAAAAATTATGGAATGGTTAGGTAGTTGAAAATAATCCCATGATCAAAGCATTCACTAGCTTTCACATTTTAAGCAACAACCTTAAACATCCTAGCAACCACCTGGCATTGTGGTGGCAGCTTCCACTACTCACATTTTCTTATATATACTGTTTTATAAATATAGTCATTCACCATGTTCATCCAGCTTATTCATGTTATTGCTGATAATTGTAGTAGACTGTGATCTGCTTCTAATTATAAGATCCAATGTAAGATTAGACTGGTTTCTAAGGTGAACAAATTGTCAATCGTCTTCACGTTGTCAGGAACACCCATGGAAAGAGTTCAAAAAGTTTTCAAATCCGCATTTTTATTTTTTTTTCATTCTTAACTCTGATGTGTTGTTTCAAACTATCCTCATTTCATCCCTTCAGCTTTCACCTCGCTGACTCTCTTCTCCTCAAATAGCTACAGTGTGCCTTTAGGCAGCACTCATTCTGCTGCTCCTGAGCTGGATCCAAGTCAGCTGACCATGTTACTGATCCAGTCTGTTAGGTACATTTTCCAAAATATCCTCTGTATGCTTTCTCTGGCTTCTGTTTTTGTGGAGGGAAAAGCCTTCAGGGAAAAAAAGCTTTCCATTCCAGACACTTGGTTGGTATTGAAGAACATTCTATAAAGGGGAAACATTCCATTATCCTCAGTTTCCTGCCAGGCTGCTTCTCTTGTAGGTCTGTCCTGCTACTTATGTACAACAAGAGTTGGCAGGAGTTTAGGTCTGGCAATATAGACCCATTACTGCATCATTTTACTTGTTTTTGTGTATCGTTGAGCAGGCTAAAGAGGGTAATAATCCAATTCAGAATCAAAGTGAGGAATTCAGAGCTACAGTTAATAAAATAGGCTGATGGTTAAATGGTTTAGACACAAATGTTCCACATTTTAGTAAGCTACCTTGCTGTCTACTGCTGACACAGGAAGGCATATTCTAAAAGTGCGGTCACATTTACCATTGCTCTTGCAAATCTTCTTGGGTGAAATATAGTCATTTCAATCGACGTGAATGGATATTTCATGTGAGGGCGAAAGATTTCTCTTTGCAGATTCAAGTTCATTTGCAGATTCAAGAATCTTTGATATGTTTTTTTTTTTTTTGTATTCTCTTCAGAAAAATTGGTAGAAAGGGGTCCAACATGTTAATCTGAAGTGATTTTTTCAAAAAGAAAAACTGAAAAAAATAGGCAAACACGGTGTACTCCATTGACTTACTGTATCTACTATAGCCTCTTGTTTGCAGTTTAAAGAATCAGTAGAGAGGAAGGATTATTTGGGCTTCAGGCAGCATTGAGCTCCTGAAATTCTCTCTCCAGCAAACATACTGCACCACTGCTGATATGTATTCGCAGTGCCTTTTTGCTAAATATGTCATTACAAATATGACTATTACAGAATTACAAGTAGTGGTTTACATTTTCTGAACATAATAGGTTTTGTTATGCAATTCCTAAGATGTTCTGAGTGGTTGTTATTTCATTGCTATGCAATTGCTTGGGTGTACTGATGGTTGGCAAGCAATTCCTAATTGGGTGCTTGGGTGTTCTGGGTGGTTACTAGATGGTTACTTACTGGTCCAAGTCAAAAGGGCCTATAACCGCAAGACTCTATAATATTCTGGTCTCTAGATATGGCTTGTGTCTCTTAATACATGTAAATCTCAAAGACTTTCATGTGTTTTATCTGTCAGGCAAAATTGTTAGCCAGATTGCTTAAAAAGTAAAAGCACACCTCTGCTTGAAAAGCAACATGATATTAGATTTCTTTCATGTCTGTAGCTTAAGCAAGGATGAGTTATGCCCAGAAATTCACTAATTGATTGCAATGACTAATGATCACAAGTTGTGTTTATTCGTTTGCTTTACATCTCTCACCTTGCTAAATATATTTGCCAACATAATCCATATAAGCTTGATCACTGCAGAGAACTGGAACATCAGTGCCTGCAACCTGAAAAATCAAGGTATTATAATAAAGTTAACCAGAATTTGAGTGTGCCATAGACTCATCAAAGATCAGGTTAATGTCAGCAGAAGTTGCTTCACCTCAAAAAGACAGAACGGCTTCAAAGGTGCCTCATTAATTCACTGGAACATTTTGTAATGAGCACCACAGAAGCATAGAAAATGCCTCATCACATTTCAGACCACATTTACCTCAAGGTGAGCTTTGATATGAGAGCAGAGCTTCTAAGCATCTCACCAACAGAAAATCTGTTTGTGCTAAACTCCTTAGTTCAATATCAGTATGTCAGTCATATCAAGTGTTCTTGAGTTCTTTCTGTGACTTATTTTGGTTACTTCTCTGCATAGGAATTCCTAGACCCTACTTAGGAGGGAGCTTCAGCTCCACTGTCTTTCATCTAAGCCCCTGTAAAGATCTGTGATTAACTTGGCTGTCATCGCACCTAAAAATCTGTCATTGTGTGATCTCTCCTCAGGCTGGCTGAAAACAGCGGCTGCAGTAAACTATCTGAGGTTACTTCACTCTAAATCCTTCCCGTAACAATCATTAAAAACGTTACAACATTAAGTATTATCGTTCCCTCTAGTCAGTGGCCAGATCATAAGGCTCCACACACAGCTGACACAGATACTCTATCCATTTCTCTAGCTTTCATCCAAATGCTCTCCATTCCAGAGGAATCAAAACAAACTGCCATTACTGCCCATAGATTTTGACCCAAAATGTATAAACCACTGCAGTAGAAAGTTTGTGATGTTAGATTAGCTTCAAATCGACATGACATTCAATTATTTACAATTTCATATGTGAGAATGTTGTGTTTTGTAGGTGGCAGGGTTATTTCGGGATGCCAGCATTGGAAATGCCATCAACATCGCTGTCGTGCGTCTCATTCTGCTGGAAAAGGACGAGGTAAGTGAAATGACAAAGCAGTGATGCAAACCCTTGCTCTAAAAATACATGGCAGACAGTCTGAGTCAATATCACTGCTGCAAAACAGACTAGGTGCACTATGACCATGTACACAGTGCAAGGTTTTGTTGGTGATGACTGCATTTAAATGTGGGAATGAATCACCTAATTCAGGGGTCTGCAACTGTTTTTGGTTTACGTTGGTAATCACTGTTCGTCACTTTTTGCTTTGGTTGCTTAATCTGAGGAATATTCCCCATATGTGTCACCACATGGGTTTCTGAAGAGAAAAATAAAAACAAAATAGTCAAAAAAGCATATTTTAAACTTGGTATATTGGTGGGAAATTGGAGGAGTTGCAGCTGTTAGAAAAAAAATCACATGAGATGTACAGTAGTCTTTATAAAGTGAAATTTGATTTGAATCATACATCACATTATCATTCTTACATTGTGGCTTAAAAATCAACTCAAATGTAATGATTTGTTTACTGAAAAATTTGACTTGCATTTGATGCTCGGTGAGTTAGGGTTTAGTGATAAACAATAAATAAACATATACATTTATTTAACCTTTTACATACATGCCTTAGGTTGCAGAAATGCTCCTGAAATTTGTTTATTGGCACAGTGATAACCATAGCAATTGTTTGGATTCATGGCTGCAAACAAGAAACATGAGTAAGAACAGTTTATGTCATTGGGTGTTAGTTTCGTATTCCCAAAGTAATTTTAATATTGAACCACTGGTTTAAATAACACAGAGAGCAACTCAGTGAAATAATACAGACTTGGAAAAACTGTCAAGACATCATTGTGACTTGATATGGTGCATGACTAACCGTTCAAAGCACTTCATGAGGATGGGGGTAAGTGCAACTGGATGGTAGTCATTGAAGCAGGATGGAGACGACTTCTTTGGGACTGGAATGATGGTGGTAGCTTTGAAGCATGTGGGGACAACAGCCTGGCTTAGCGAGATGTTGAAAATGTCTGTGAAGACATCGGTGAGTTCCACTGCACAGTCTCTCAGTACACGCCCAGGAATGTTGTCAGGACCCGGAGCTTTGCGTGCGTTGATCCTGCTGAGGGATCTCCTCACGCTGTCCGGGGACAGCGTCATCACCTGGTCGCCGGGAGGAGGTGGAGTCTTCCGTGCAGTGGTGCTGTTTTGTTCCTCAATGCGAGCGAAGAAGATGTTCAGCTCGTTCAGCAGGGAGATGGTGCTGTCACAGGTGC